CCTGCTGAATTTTGGGAGTTTGAGCAAAAATCAGTATGCCTTTCTTCACTCCAGAACAATGGTGTGCAACCTTTTGGCCTTGAGGGTTAGATAAGTGGCACAGAGTTGATGTGCAGGCTGGATCTGTGAAACTAGCCCATGGGGTTGGGCCTCATGCTATCCCAGCCTTGCATGCCTGATCTAGCACACAGGACCACGCTATCTGGCCCTTCAGACTGCCCATGGGAACGGAAATTTGGCAGGAAGGGAGCAACAATTAACACTGCTGCTGCTCCCCCACTGTCAATTTTTTTGCCTGCCAAATGACTTGGCTCACGGGCCAGGGATTGAGCACCCCTGCTCTAGAGTATTAACACAAGAGATTTTCTCTAACAACTGTTCTCTTACATTTGGCTCTGAAAGCTGAAATGCTTTTTATACATTCTGGAATGTGTTTTCCAGATTAGAATGATTTGTGGGCATTGTAGTTAAATGCTTTACTATAGATGTACTTCTAACATAAATATTAAATAAATATGTTATACTATAACATTGCAATCTGAACATAGATATTTCTTAAGGATTATTGGTATATAATTCATTTTCTTTATATTTCAAATTCACATTTAGTACAGATCTTTTGGACATGTCAGTGAAACAGGAAATAATTTGTTTTGTCCCATTTATTAAGAAATGAGCGATGTATAAATAGATTTTATTGCCATCTCTGCCTTCTACTAGGATACCTTAATGGTTTGAAATCTTAATTTATGGACTTGGTCAAAAATTAGTTTGAGGCTAACCCTGTCATAGTCGTAGTTCTTATTCAAGTGATTATACAGATCACTCTTGGTGCGTATGTTCACCATGAAAAAAAAGATTGAATTCTTTTGGGCTAACTGTTTTTATGAAAGTGCCTACATGCAGCCACATGGAGCAACTGGATGGAAAGAAACCGTGAGCATACCAAGCTCAGTGTTTCTACCAAACATGACAGAATTAGAATCCTTGTCAGCATGCAGTTTTCTTACATTGGATAAGAAGAATGAATTGATCCAATAACTTAATTGTAATGTTGTAATTTGTTAAACAGTCTTTTTGTACATGGGCACATATGTTCAAATTGAAGAAACTTCACTGTTTTTGAAGGTTAGTTAAATCTAATTTGATCTATGCCTACTCTTCTGCCTCCTGTGCAGGGGTACTGGGGCTGCATTTGACAGTTTTACAGGCCATAGCACTTATTCAGCCTATGGAACAGTTTCATCTAGCCTGCCAGTAGTTTGATGGGCTACCAGAAGTTTGGGGTCATGGTCTGTTGCAGAATTTAGGGTCCCTGGACCCCCAGTATACATGGCCGTTGGTGGTAACCTTCTTGACCTATGCTGTCACCTGGCCCTGGACCTGTTAGGTTGCCTGAATGCAACCACAGTTGCTGCTGGCTCTACAGATCTGCCCTTTGAGGAGCCCCCATGGTCTGGATCCACCTTGTGGCCTGCGGTTTATCTTTTTGTGATGCAGCATATGCCTATTGCTTTGAACTGAGGAAAGAGAGATTACAGAACAAAATAGTCTGGTATTGTACCTTTTTATAGAGTGCCCAGAAGGCAGTGGAAGTGAGGCTGAAATGTTTCCTTCTAGGGAAGCTGATGCAGGTCTGCTCTGATTCAGATGAGTCTTAGAAGAAGCCACAAGACACCGACCTGTCCATGACTGTTAAAGCCTAGCGTGTTTGACTCCAGTCCAGGCTTCCAGGAACTTTTTGTAGGTGTTGCTGCATCCATTTCATCATCTGCTTGAGGGCTAAAAGGAGCACTGTTCCAAAGACACAGTACCACTTACCAGTATCAGCACCAAATAATACAATAGGTGGAGCCTCTGGACTGCAGAACTTATTTTTGCTGTAGTGTCAGGGACTGAAAGGACCTCACTGGACATGTACTCCGTACCTAACTCAAGCCCTAGATTTTTTGGATGTCCAAGGCTTTGTAAGGAATCTGGCAGCTGCTTCTCTCTCCAGGGCTAGGCCTCAGGGAACTCATTTGCTCCAGCCTTAGCTAAAGTTAAGACAAGGAAAAGTAGAGAGCACATGTATCAGGTTCAGTAACTTCGTCTTCCCTTGTTGTATGAGTGAACTCCCATTATTTTGAGCTTCTGTGGAGGAGTTTAGGACTTTTCAGCTGAATCTTTTTGGCTTATGCCAGCTTCTATACTAGCCACTTACAAGAGAGTATATAGGGGGAAGCAGGTAACCTTGGCAAAAAATGTAAATGTTTGTTATTGTTATATTGGCTCTGTAGTTGCTCAAGGAGTGCAGGAGAGGACAAAATAATATAGTCCTCCTTTTACCCTCCCCAAGAGTAAAAGGAAATAGTTTATTTTCAGCTAGGTTTGTTTGGCAAACATTCACATGGAGGTAGCAGTTTTCAAATCTGTTACTCTCTCAGTATCTTTTAAATTGGGGTAGATAGTTCAGTTAAATTGAGAACTATTCCAAAGATCCCACAAAGAAGCCAAGATCCTCGTAGATTCTCAGAGAAATAGGACAAAACTAGAGTTACACTCATGCCGGGCTACTAAGGTATTATTCAGGACAAACTTTGAGTTGCACATCTTGATTCAACCGCCATCACATGATCGCAGTTCAAACTCTGAGTCATTCCAGACACCACATTGCAGAACTAAGGCCAAACTTTCCTGAGCAGCGGTTTTTCATATGACAGCTTGGATGCTAGTGGGATGAGCTTAGAAAATAGAAAGTTTTCTGCTAAGGTACAGGGCATTTTTATCCTTATTTATTGAGCCAAATGGAAACATTTTTCAGTATGGATTTCTCTTCACAATTTTTATTCATTAGAGCAGTGGAGAACAGCCTTTTTGGCAGGCATGCCACAACTTAGCCCCACACCATCTGAATA